ACTGTCCATGTTTCGCACCCGTACAGCGCCGTGCTCCAAACATACACCTTTAACAACCTATTTCGAATTTCTAAATTAACCGTTCGCGAGCATAGAAGTGACTTCTTTTTATTGAAGGCGACTCGACCCTGCACTATCTGCTTTATATTTCTACTACTCCTTCCGCCACGACTTATCTGATTTCCTATTTATAATATGATCTTGATCCCATATCCGAAACTATTATGAGCGTACAGAGACTTACGTACAAATTACCTGGAAGAAACCATGTACCAAAAGCAAAACATCACTGTTGGTTTAATTAACACATTGAAAATTAAATCTTCAGGCATCGATATATTATTGTAGTCACGAACATTAAAAGAATTATTAATGTAAAAGAGTTTATAAACAAACTCATAAATAAAACCTGTCCCTTTTGCTTTATGACATCGTTGGTAAAAATTGAGATTAAGCACTTTCAACTGTTACGGTAATAAAGTTTTTAAATAAAAAGAAACTTTTAATTCACTCCTGCTATTAGAGAAGCGCAGACTTAATATTCTTATAACTAAAGTAAAATAAATAGCATTTTGATGGTTCAATAAACCTAGAGGGAGAATCTTCATATACAGAAGTGGCGATTTGAGACCGAGCATAGGGATGTTCTATTACATACAATCATCACAGGGCGGCATATATTTTATTAAATACAGCTCGGTATAGAAAAATTCGAGCAAATACCTTCAGCGGTCTTTTCAAATAGATAATAAAGTAATAGAACTCCAATTAATACAGTTCAATGCATTTGAGGGGTGGCACTTTTGTTTAAGTGTTCAACTAGTTCCACAGGCTCGCCAAATTATGCACTTTTTTTTAGTACAATATAAACTGATGATTGTTGATTGTCGGTATAGAGGAAGTCAGATAACTCAGGATGGAAGAAGCGATAGAGATATAAAACAAAAGATAGCGCAGGGTCGAGTAGCCTTCAACAAAAAGAAGCCATTTCTATGCTCGGGAACAGTAAATTTAGAAATTTGAAAAAGATTGTTAAAGGTGTATGTCTGGAGACCGGCCCTGTACGGGTGCGAGGTGGACCTAGATTAGTTTACTGTTCACAAATAGTTAAGGATGTGAGATGTTCTAGTTTTAGGGATATGCGAAAATTAGCCCAGAACAGGAAGAAATGGAGAAGCGTGTCTAATAAGTCATAGGACTGACTACCTTATGACCTTATGACCCATGATCATATTGACAAAAACAGAAAAAATTCCGACAAAGAAATGTGTAATTTCCATGTCCGGTGAACGTTTTGCCTTACCTGTAGATACACACAAGTGTAACTTTTGCTCCCCGAGAAAAACATAAAAAAGAAAAGAACATCTTCTCCGAAGACCATCAAGACACCCCGTGCTTTCGCGTCATAAAATTTTAAGTTCGTAAAAAAAGCAGCCCCTAACTTAATCTCGCTTTTAAACCAACCCGATTCGTGAACTTGAGTCTCCAGCTATATATCGACGTCAACTGGTGTGGTGTAGCTCGCAAATAATAATTGAATTTGCGAAGTTACGTACTTTTNCTAATTGTAAGTGAAATTCATTATTTTTATGACTGTAGTAAAGCAACTGGAATTTTGAATTGTAACTACGTAATAATTACCAATAATTTTGTAAAAAGGATGTTTCCGAATAATAAATTTTTTTCTGTAAGACATGGATTTATATTTTCATTCATTAACAACTGGAAACATAAAATAACAAAAATAACATGCAGTAAGTGTTGTTATGGTAATTATATCATCATCATCATATCATCATAGGCCTTCAGTCCTAAGACTGGTTGGACACGCACCTCCACTCTTTCCTATTCTGAACTAATCTTCGCATTTACCTAAAACTATAACTACTCACATCCTTAACTATTTGCGAACAGTAATCTAATCTAGATCTGCCTCTACTCCTCTTAACTCCTGTTTCTGCCTTTAATATGTCTCTGACTAGACCTTCATGCCTGAGAAAATGTCCTACCAACCTATCTGCCCACTTTTTATTGACTTTCATAGAGTCCTCTGTTCTCCTATTCTTTCTAATATCTCTTCATTTTTAACCTTCTCTATCCACATTTCGAACGCTTCTAACCTTTTCTTTTCCGACGCGCCTACTGTCCATGTTTCGCACCCGTACAGCGCCGTGCTCCAAACATACACCTTTAACAACCTATTTCGAATTTCTAAATTAACCGTTCGCGAGCATAGAAGTGACTTCTTTTTATTGAAGGCGACTCGACCCTGCACTATCTGCTTTATATTTCTACTACTCCTTCCGCCACGACTTATCTGATTTCCTATTTATAATATGATCTTGATCCCATATCCGAAACTATTATGAGCGTACAGAGACTTACGTACAAATTACCTGGAAGAAACCATGTACCAAAAGCAAAACATCACTGTTGGTTTAATTAACACATTGAAAATTAAATCTTCAGGCATCGATATATTATTGTAGTCACGAACATTAAAAGAATTATTAATGTAAAAGAGTTTATAAACAAACTCATAAATAAAACCTGTCCCTTTTGCTTTATGACATCGTTGGTAAAAATTGAGATTAAGCACTTTCAACTGTTACGGTAATAAAGTTTTCAAATAAAAAGAAACTTTTAATTCACTCCTGCTATTAGAGAAGCGCAGACTTAATATTCTTATAACTAAAGTAAAATAAATAGCATTTTGATGGTTCAATAAACCTAGAGGGAGAATCTTCATATACAG